CAAATCTTCACTTAAATAAGCAATACTATTTACTATAACATATATTTTCTGAATTGATATAAATATATATACCCTTATTTTATTTTTTACCTTTAAACCCGCTTCTTCAAATCTTGTGTCCCTTCATATTGTTGTATCCCTTTAGTTAAGTCTCTACAGTAACTACCTTTAAAATATAGACAAATCATACCAGTTGTTGTATCTTCTTCTTTGTGTCAAATTTCATCCCTAATTTCTATGAAACTTTGTCAATTTCTCCAAAGTCTACTTTGAATCTTCAAAAAATATAATGAAACAAAACTATAATTTCTTAGTAGTTTTTTCCTTCATTCAACATCTCAAAAGAAAAACTATTTCAACTGCTCAATTCTTAAAAAACTGATCACAACCATGACAATTTTTTGGTTCGTGCCTACTTCTTTTTGTGGGCTTTTCCCTTCTGTCATCACTTTGTCCAACATCTTCAATTAGTGTTTTATTCAATGTAAGATTTTATCTTTTATGAATTTTTATTATATTACTTTTGTATTTTTTGTTATAAAAACTTTTAAACATTCTTGATGGAATTAGAATTGTGGATGAGACAGCAAAGATAGATTAAATTCCGTCGGGACTTGATAAGGTACTTGTACCTATATATATATGTGTGTGAAAAGCTTCTAACCTCAAAGCTGAATTGCCATTTTGCCCTTCACTTAAATAATTTTTCTATTTTTTAAAATATAAAAAATGTAAAAATATATTCTAATAAATAATTAGATAATAAACTTTAAAGTAATAAAGTTATAATGGAAGATAAAAAGTCATTCAAGTGAATGAAGTCCAAACATTTCAAAACATCTCTTATTTAATTTGTAGTTAAAAAATTTGAAGAGTTTCCATTGATAAATTTATATACATGTTGTTTTCTCATTTTGGGTGACAATGGCATGTGAGTTGCTTTATCTCACAAAATTATACTTCTAATTTTTCATGTTTCTTTTGATCAAGAATTTTTAGTCATATATGTATATAGAGAAAACTTATATTACGGGTTTTGTTTAATTCTCTAATCGAATTTGTATGTTTTTAACACAACAGATGAGAAATAACTACAGAATTTTTCGTTTGGACAAAAAGTCTGCTCAACATTTATGAGGTAAAACAAACCTACAAATAGATACTATTTTCTTAGTTCATAGTTTTTTAACTCAAGTGATTCACTTGTGTGAGAAAGGATATATGTATATTGTTTCGTTAATTTATTGACAGTAGTTGCTTGGAAAATATAGATATTTGGACTAGAATACTAGTCATTTCAGTGTATTCAATGAATTCTTCAAGAAGGTTAAAGGCGGCATAGACATTTATTTGTTGTTTGGTATTATTTTTCATTTCAATGCTGTATATTTTTACTTATTTCATTGTTTGTTACATTCATTTTTTTCAGTTGAAAAAAGGTAAATTGACTAATTTTTCTTGAATAATGGCAACGAAAAAGAAAATAAATTTTATAAAAACGGAGATTCATCTACATGTGTGATGTACTAATCTTCTTTTAGAGATATTATGTTTGTTATAACAAGTTGATTATCCTGTAGTGATTGAATTAATCTCGGTGTTTATGATATATGTCAATGTATGCATTGTAATAGCACGAAAATTTCTAAGTTAAGACTCAAGTCATTCTTTATGGTGAATAAGATTTGTACCAAGTGATTCTAAATGTTCTTAGATGTTAAGGTCACTAGAATTCCCTAGCATAAAGTTGAGTGGAAAACTTTTCTTCCAATGAGTTTCTCTATGAGATTTTTCTTGGGTGAACTTCAAACGACCATAACTTTCAGCACAGAGTGAGTTAGGTGGGCCATGAAGTATCAAATCAAAGGTCTTCGAATCCACTTTCCAACGCCAACAAATTTGCTAAATTCCGGGTTCAAATGAAGGAGTTATTCCCGTTTGAGTGCAGCCTCTCTAATTTAGGCATTTTTCATCTGTTTTAAGGAGGGGTAGTTTGGTCTTTTCCTTACCCCACTAACCTAACACGTTTTCCCCGGCCCAAGTTAAGGGGTCTAATAAGACTAAGTCAATTCTAAACATTCCAAAAGCGTTTAGAAGATTAGGACAAATTTCAAGAGGAGAAAAATAAAAAAGTTAAGCGTTCATCTAGTTTTGAAGATTTTCACCAAGAACTTAGTTCTTTCGAGGTATGTAAGCTTTCATAGTTTTGAGTTTTTTCACCGTCACGTCAATCATGAGTTTTCAGTTGTGAATTCGTCCATGAGATTGTGTATATTGAGATTATTTATGAGGTTCTTGAGGTTTTGTGCTTCATTCTTTAACAACAGAGTTTTGTTGAGTTCTTGAGGTGAGGGTCTTGCGAATGAGTGTTGTTCTTGAGGGATTTTGAGTGGTTTTCGTTTAATTGTGTTGGGTTTATGAATCTAAGGGAGTTTGGAAGAAATCAATCGATTCTAGGTGAATTAGGACTAAAAATTGAGAAGAAAATTTCGTCAGAATGTTCTGGGATCAGGTTGGGGCGGCGCACCCCCGTAGCGCCTGCAGTGCTCCCCAAACCAGCCCCAGTAAATTGAGACTAGCGCGGTGCACCACTGATGCGCCAGGGACGTCGGGTCCTTTCGACTTTGTTCTTCGTCCCGTAAGCGATCCTTTGAATCGTGTCTTCGTCTTCTTCTTATTACCAACTATCTAAGTCTTCATTAATCTTTGAGAGATCCTATATATCCTAATCATAGTTCTTGAATTCTCATTTCAAATTAAAGAGATATTAAGAGGAAGGTTCAAGAGGGTCCTTTGAGTCAAATTTGAGAATTCTTTTGAAATCAACCATAGACTTGAAGTAAGTCTTGAGTAAAAGAGTATGAGAATGAGAAGAGTTGTATTCATGAGTCTACATTGTATTGAGATCCTTGAGTCGAGTTGTTCATGATCATAATTTCATATGAACTCTATGAATTGAGTATTCTTAAGAGGATTAGTATCGTTGAGTTCTGAGTTCCGAGTTCTTGAGTTCTTTAGTCCTTGAGTTCTGAGTTAAGTTTCAATATTGCTAGTAAGATCCCTGAGTTGAGTCATTCTTGTCCATAATTCCGCATGAACCCTATGAGTTGAGTTATAAATCTTGAGAAGCTTTTTAAAGCCAACACTTAGAGTTTTAAACTGAGTTTTTGAGGAAGTAAAGATGAGTTTTGACAAATATTTTTCATGTATGCATTGAGTGAGAGTATAAGGGAACTAAGTATTCCCAAAGGTATCAGTTTTTCATTGATAAAAGAGAAACTTTGATTTCTAAATGTGTTATGAGTTCAAAGATATTTCAGGAGCAGTTACCTCTTTTAAGAGGATAGTTTGGGCAATTATCTCAAACCAGAGGAAAAGTATGTTTTTAAACATTGAGCATGAATATATATTATTGGGAGTAGTATTGAGCACCGATATGGGGATGAGTTCAGACAACTACTTTCCTCATAAACCATGTATGCCAACATGAGTACACGATCATACTTTTTAGATGAATCCTAGGTGCCTTCGGACAGAACATAGTGGATCCACTTAGTTGAGGATGTTCTATACCCGGCAAGGTATAGGGCAGTTCTCTGGCAGTGTGGGTAGGACGTTGTATCATCACGTAGCTCATAGTGATGGTTGTAGTGATGGTTGTCGGTTAGAGAATCTCCCAAATAAGAGTAAAGAGTTTATTATTGTATTTTTATACATTTTGAGTTCTTGTCTACCGTTTACAAAGCTTTATTTATTGCATTTTATTATCATTGATTTTATATTGAGTTGAGTATTCTTGATTTGAGTTGAGTTGAGACGAGGTGAGTATGTTTTCCTTTTTATTAGTTCAAGCTTATATTTATGTTCAGAGTTCCCCTTACATGCTCGTACATTCAATGTACTGACGTCATTTGACCTGCATCTTTCATGATGCAGATACAATTGTGGGTCATCAATAGGCGCTCTGTTGATATCACTTGCAGTTCCAGTTAGCTTTGGTGAGCCTCCCTATTTCCGGAGGGTTCCACATTTACCTTACAGCTATTAGTTTTGAGATGTCGTGGGTCTTGTCCCGATATCCTTATGTAATAATAGAGGCTTCATAGATAGATAGAATTGAGGAGTTTTCAGTATTTATCTTCTTTTGAGTTGTTTTACAAACTATCAGTATTCTCATTGAGTATTGTTCAGATTGACTTTTTTTACAAGTTGAGTATTCGAGTTTAACGAATGTAATTCAGTTTTAAGCTTATGTATGCTTGAGTTAGTCTTCCGCTTGAAGTCAGCCAGGATGAGGGTTCGTTTAGGGATCAATAATGGTTCTCGAGTGCCGCCCACGTCTAGGGTGTAGGCTCGGGTCGTGACATGCATAGTACTACTGCATTATGTATATTCTTCTACACTCTAGGTAATGGGATAATTCAATAACTCATGTAATTAGTTTTTTCTCATAATTAAATCTACAAAAATTAGCTTGCATTATATTTAATACATTTTTTTTTGGATTTATAAATGGTTTACTACTTATATGAAAATAAAATTATGGTGTGATTTGTAAATAAATATCCCTAATAACCAAAAGAAGAGGAGGCGTTGAAGAAGAATAAATGTATTGCTAAATATTATTGTATTCTGCAACTTCATGTTTTTTTATCGGTTAAATTTAAACTTATTGTTTCATTTATTCTATCTAGAAAAAAAAGTATTTGGATGAAAAATCTCATTTATTCAAAGGCTTATCAATTAATTTAAATTCGTATGTAAAAATGAAAATAAATAAATAAGACACATACCCAAGAGTAACTGCAAATGTTCACACATGCCATTTTACTGAACATAAAGAAAAATTAAAATTCATCATTTAAAGGAGTATATATTCTTTTAAATTTTAGAACATAAAATAATATTATTAATAATATTTATATTTTTTTAAAATTGTGTATTGATTGGTATAGATACACGCGCGCGACAGAAACTAATATTATTGAAATGTGACTAGTTATAAATCGTATATTTTTTTTTTTCAGTCAGCTCCCGTCGGTGAGCATGGGCCAAGAAAGCACATTTACAGCTCAAAAAAGAGCCGGAGCACTCCCTACAACCGTCACGGCCAACGGCGGCGTCCGTGGACGCTCCCCCAACGTATTACCACGCGGCCGTCAGATCGACCGTACCTTCAACAATGTCAAAATCACCATCCTTTGCGGTTTCGTCACTATCCTTGTACTCCGTGGCACCATTGGTATCGGCAACGTTTCATCCTCGGAAGCAGAGGCTGAGAATCAGAATCTAATAGAGGAAACTAATCGGATCCTCTCCGATATCCGTTCCGATAAGGACCCGGATGATCCAGCAGGAGATCAACCTGAGACTTTCATGAGTCTTAATGACACTTACAGTTTAGGTCCCAAAATTGCTAATTGGGATAAAGACCGGAAAATGTGGCTTCAGAAGAATCCAGAATTTCCCAATTTCGTTAATGGTAAGCCTCGGATTTTACTTGTAACTGGGTCTCCTCCAAATCCTTGTGACAATGCAATTGGGGATCATTATCTGTTGAAGGCGATAAAGAACAAGATTGATTATTGTAGGATTCATGGTATTGAAATTTTGTATAATTTAGCTTATTTGGAAAAGGAAATGGCTGGTTACTGGTCCAAACTTCCATTGATTCGTAGGCTAATGTTGTCTCATCCTGAAGTGGAGTGGATTTGGTGGATGGATAGTGATGCTTTGTTTACTGATATGGTTTTTGAGATGCCTTTATCAAAGTATAATCGTCATAATCTTGTTATTCATGGATACCCAGATTTATTGTTTGATCAAAAATCATGGATTGCATTGAACACAGGTAGTTTTCTTTTTAGGAATTGCCAGTGGTTTCTTGATTTGTTGGATGCTTGGGCTCCAATGGGACCTAAAGGTCCTATTCGCGAGGAAGCTGGCAAGATTTTGACAGCTTATTTAAAGGGTAGACCCGATTTTGAAGCCGATGATCAGTCTGCCCTAATTTACTTGTTGGTATCACAGAAGGATAAATGGATGCCCAAGGTGTTCGTTGAGAATTCGTATTATCTACACGGATATTGGGCGGGGCTAGTTGATAGGTACGAAGAGATGATTGAGAAGTACCATCCTGGTTTAGGTGATGAGAGATGGCCATTTGTTACACATTTTGTAGGGTGCAAGCCTTGTGGGAGTTATGGAGATTACCCCGTTGAGAGATGCTTGAAAAGCATGGAGAGGGCTTTCAATTTTGCAGATAATCAAGTGCTTGACTTGTATGGGTTCAAACATAAGGGCTTGTTGAGTCCCAACATCAAAAGGATTAGGAATGAAACTGATCACCCCCTGCAGTACGTAGATCAGTTAGATGTTCGACATGCAAAGCCCAAGCACACGGGAACTTAGAGCTAGGAGTACACTGTCTTTCGCTGGAAAAAATCTTCAGGTACTAAAGATATTTACTTTGTTTTGTTGGATTTGTAGATTAGATCTTGTTTATTGTGGATGTATAAACATTAGCTTTACCAGTGATTACTGTGTTGCTTTTGTGGTTACCAACTACCTAAGTATGTATTGATTGATGTCATTCTAGCTGCTACGTACTAGCAGAGGTTTTGGGGAGACTACATCATTCACTTCACCGTGGTTCTTAAGGGAGGAAAGAAAACCGACAACTGAAAAGTTCTAACAGAAGAATATGGTGGAAAAATTAGTAGGTATCCCTTGGAATTAGTCGAGGTGTGCACAAGGTAACCTAGACACTATGATTATACAAAATTGGTGGAAAATGATTTTGTATTGGTAGGTTGCATGCTGGCATGCCTTTCAGTCTGTTTTATTTTTATCTTTAGTTCCTTTGTGTTTTATAGCCCGGAAATTAAGAACTTGCAATTTCTTACTAATTCTCTTTGCCATGAGATAGACGTGTCCCTTTGTTTCTGATTAGAAGCATAACTTACCAGGGGATGGAGTGTCTGAGGGAAACTGGGAAAACTGATGTCTTATGCTTTTGTTTTGGACCAAGAAACATGGCTTTAAAATGTCTCTTTACTATGGTAAAACTTTGTTTGTTAAGTCGACTATTATATTCTGATCCATGCAAAGAAGCTTATTCGGATGTGGGTGAGGTATGAGATAGCCTCATTCAACAGGAAGCTTTGTGCTTTTCTTAGCTCTGGTAAGATCTTTTCATTTATTGAGATAACTTGGCTTTCTTCGGCTTTGTCTGCCCCTTTGCTTCAATTCACCTTATGCTAGTCCCCATGATTTTGTTCTGATTGAAGTATCCATGGATATTGATAAGAATCAGGTTACTTGAATAAAATCAAGAAAATAATGTGGAAGCTACTTGCTTTGGCCTTCTGTGGGCCCCTCATTTTGGGCTCCATGGGCCCCAATCTTCTTTTCTATTCATTTTGTCCCAAATTATATGACACTTTTTTTTAGTCAATTCCAAAAAAAATAACACATTTATATATTTAGTAACAATTTAACTTTAAATGCTCATTTTATTCTTATTGAGATGATTTATAGCCATCTAAGCATCTATGACTTATTTAAGACAACAATATTCAGAAGTCTTTCTTTAATTTCGTGTCCGGTCAAGTACATCATATAAATTGGGACGGAGGGAGTATTAGATTTGGACTTGGACCATGAAATACGTGTACTTGTGTCGCACTTAGCCCTCTCTCGCTATAATTCTTGGGCCCATTCTTGGACTTGACTTCCACAATAAGCACCTTCTTAATTTCCCATTGAAGTCCGCCAACCTCACATGAAGGAACGCCACCTTGGATGCTATCAGATGCATATTGAATAACTAAACTATGTAATGATTGAACTATTTATGACATATGAATGTGGGGAGATTGCATATGGATTTTAGAAACCAATTCATTCAGTTAGCACATTGGTTTAGTTCAGCGTGTCAACTCTTCATACATGTACATATTCAGTAAAGTATACATATGACCATGATTTGGTTGCAATGATGCAGTCTTAAGACACAATATAGCCACAGTTGGTGGCAATGATATGATTTTAAATCACTGTAATTTCCATGAAAAATGAAGATTAATTCGAAATGCTCGAAGCTTGTTTGGGCTTGTGTTAGTGTAGAGAAATTCCCTCTATTGCATGTTTGAACAAAGCACTGTGTCTCAGAACCAAGTAATTGATATCATATTAGTATAAACTTTTTCTTCTTAGCCAAAGTATGCTACCTTTTCCTCCAATTTTGGCAGTTTTTCGTGGTCTTGCTTGGGAGGTGCTGACAAAAGGATTGATCTGTCTTGCACCAATCAAAAAAAGAAAAAAAGGAAAATAGGTTTGATATGTCTCGTATGAGAATGACACTCTTGGAATGAAGTACACTTGCTCTTCTGCCTCTCTTTCTGTGATAGCAAAGCATTGCAAGAAGAGGGCAGAATGTCTTTTTATTCGATCTCCCAAGGAGTAAGTTTTGTTTTACATTTACTTATTTGTTGCAACATTTTAGCTCCTGAGCAAGTTGAGAGAATTCTCAGATATATTAAATGATGCTGCGCAAAAGGAACCACTTCGAATCATCAAGGAACCAGCTTCATATCATGATCTCACTTGTATAATCGCAATCGTGATTGCTATTCTCTTGTTCATTTTTGGGTATATGGTAGTGGACAACAAAATGTTTAGTTTGAACTTGGAAGTATTACCAGCATTAATACATGTTCTTTTATTCTTTTGCCTATTTCCAAAGTTCGGTTAGTTTGGTCCCTTCTTTATCGTATCTCATCCAGGCAGCTTGCATCTACTTGAAGGAAATCCATGAAATAGTGCAGTTTCTCTACCACATTTGCAGAATATTACTCCCCTCGTTCACTTTTATTTGTCTACTATACTAAAAAATCATTTTCATTTTACTTGTCACTTTTAGTATTTCAATTTTTTTTCCCTGTTTTATCCTCAATATTAATTACTATTTTCCAAATCAATTCTCAAGATCTAATACTATACCTTAATTAATATGGATATTATTGTAAAATATTCATATTAATCATTGTGCTTAATGGGCGTGTAAAGTTCAAATTGGAATCATTGTTTTTTAAGGGGTGTAAAGTTCAAATTGGAAAAGTAAAAGTGATCGGGGATTAGTATCAGTTATAATGCAATTATGCAGCATTTTAGAGGCACATATATATTCGTGAGAATATGTTCTGCAGTTGTGATTATTTATGCTTTCAACATGCCTCTAAGATTGATTGATGAAGTCCTCAATCTTCCTGTGCCAAAATAACTTTTATTTTTCTCTTTTATTATCACCTCTTAAAATAGAGATTTATCTAACACTTTAATGTGTGGTGTAGCTAGGGATGGCTATGGGACAGAGCGGATGCGGGGTAGGGTAGGTTTAAGGCTATGCGGGGCGGGACGGAGTGGGTTTAAGGTTGTGCAGGGCAGGTGGGATGCGGGGTGGGTTGAACTGAGTTTTTTTAAAACTAACGCGGGGCTGGGCGAGTTGCGGATATATGTGATTTTATGTGGGGTTTAAACTTGATTATAATTTTTTACCTGTTATAAAAGTGATAGAACATTATTTATCAAGGTATTTTTTTAAAGCTAATAAAATATTCAAGATAGTAAATTCAACAAAAAGTAATTCAATTTCTTACATGTTTCCCAATTGACCTCAAAAAATAATAATTAAGTCATTATCCTATCAAATTAATAAACTTAATGAAAAAATGAATTTAGTATTATGAATTTTACCTTTAGTATCAAACTTAACTAGAAAAAGAAATCATTAAAAAAATTATGTGTGGTGGGTTCATGTGGAGCGGGTCTATGTGGGGCGAGTTGAAAATGGAAAAAAATGTTATGCGTGGCGGGGTGGATTACAAATTTTGCGGGTTAAGCTCAATTCGCCTTGCCCAGCCCACACCCCGCACCGCCCCATTGCCATCCCTAGGTGTAGCAGGTTGTTTGCCCATTTCCAAATTACCTCTTTCATTTTATGAGAAAATGGTCAAATGACCCCCCCCCCCTCCACCCCAATCTATTTGCCAATGTTCATGTAACACCCCTAAATACTAACCAAGAGTCACATGTTGATTTACCGTTGCTTAATTACTAGAATATGTTTTAGTCTCATTTTGGGAACTTGAAGTGTTGTGATAATTGCCAACTTGCTTAGCATAAATTCTTATCGTAATTTAAGGATTTGTGATGGGGTGTTTAGGTAATATTCTAATTAGAATTATGTTTAACTTTGAAAGGAGATGAGGGATATATATATAAGTGTATATGTATACATTTTGAGCAGCACACAAATTTTTGGGCAGCACCTTTGAAGGACAGCTGCCCAAGGGATAAACATCACTTGTTGACTATATATTTTCACCCCTCCTTTAGTAATTTCGTTTTCCTCAAGCCTTAGAGCCTTAGAAACATATCTAAACAGAGTGTTCTTCAAAATCACAAGAGAAACTTGGCCCTTTTGGCTGGAATTCAAGAACGCACACTTCTTGTTGGTAAGTGTCGAAATTTGTTTCTGAACTGGGTAGTTGTTTAGTATTATATGCATATCTCTCGTTCTAGAACTTTAGTTTACAGTGAGTAAATATGATTTGGAAAGATAATTCGTAGACCTACAACTATTATGTTTATGTCAAACTCTGATTCAGCTGTTATAGACTCGAAATATGGGACGCAACATAGAACCAGTTCTGTCCAGTATTTTGGTAATTTACAAATTCTGTATGAACAGCTGTTAGTGTTTTGACTATATCTTGTTGTACAAAATACATTTTGCGGTGATGCTTATTTGTTTGCAACCCTAAGAGATGTATCTACATATTTCATGAAGGTTATAAAGTCTAGTTTTGCTGTTTTCCGTTTCAAATCTAAGTTGCGACATGAGGTACTAGGCTGGCCAGAATCACTGTTTTGGGAGCATTGTTGTGTTTGTGCAGGATAATTTTACTTGTGATGATGATATTATTTTACATCAATATTATTGAGCTGCTAGGGATTAAAGAAGTTGTTTAATTGTATTTTAAAGGTTGTATATACTCGTGAACAAGTTGAGGACCTTGATACATTGGTTGGACTGTTTCTTTGCTAAAGCACTGAGGTTTGTGTATAAACTTGTACTTGCACTCTTTTAACTTCTAGTATATCTGAAATTGGATCTTGGTACCTTGGTTACCTCTTGTCACTTTGCATTGTCGTGTTGGTATCCTTTGAGACTTTAAAGATGCTTGTGTAACTCGCCCACTTGTACGGATTGTTTGATCACTTGGCACTCTTGTTGGGACCTTGTCCTTCTTGTGGCTGTGACTTTGTCACTCTTGGCATGCCTCTTGATTCGGATCATTTGCCATCTTGACTCTGGATTTTTAGTTCGTCTTAAGTATGGATATGAACCTTCTTGATACAGGGCGTCGACCCTTCTTGATACTT